GCCCACAAAGTGGCCATTTTGGCCATTTTTGATCAAAACTCGGAAATTCCGGCCAAAATAGCCGTTTTGCGATCGCCGTAGCGCGTTATCGCCTGTATATTTTTGTATGGTTCAACTTGTGAAACTAATTGGGACCTCTCAAATTTAATCTGAGTGAATCAGATTATCCCTCAAAAATCGTTGAAGGACTTGAAAAATGCGGATTTTCGATTGTTCTCGTGTTGAGCTCCGCATGATGGCGCATCAATTTATTTGATCCAATCAATTCTGCAGATAGGTTCATTTCCCCTTTCTAAACACTGTAGTTCTTTGTTTCAGGTGAAAATTTGCATTGCTTGTCCCGCAGTAGTCTGAGAACTGATCGGTCATTCTTTTTGTCCACATAGGTGTATATAGCCCGTCGGTGGTCAGCAATACAGTTGTTGATTATGTTGCCTTTTGGTCTGGCGGTTGTGCAGGCGCCGGGTGCCGGGGGCAGCGAAGGTGGCCATGGCTGATAGTACTGCAGTGAGGACGTCCACGCTGGAGCCGGTCGATGGCCTCGAACTCCCCGCCCCCCTGCCATTTGAAAGGCATGACTATCCATTGCCGGTTCGTGCGATTCAGAAAATGACTCTGAGATTGCGCTGGAATTGAAAGTGTTTGAATTGCGGCGAGAGCAAATGGGTCACGTGTTTCAAATCTAAAGCACTGGTTAGGCGCTGGAGAAATCAATAACGGCTCTGACCAGAATCTGAATAGCTGAAAATAACCGGAATGACCAGGGCAATCCATTGCTACTTGAGTTTGGGTCTGACTTAGGCCGTTATAAGCCCGACTTAGGAGACGCGGCGTATCAATTTCCCAGGCGCAATCCTGAAGACATACAAGGGACTGGTCGGCCGCTTCGCGGCCTCCCATCCCCTTTTGTGAAATGAAAAATCTGGACCTGGCATAGCGCTGAAGTGCAACACTTCACTTCGCCTCTGGCTGCAGTATTCTGGCGCATTTTTTGTTCTTTTTGTACCATTCAATTCTATCCCTCAGACGTGGAGGTTGTTCAAGCTAAATTACCTCTGGGATAATATCTTTCGAGCCATACACTGAAATAGGAGCATGTTCGCCGTTGTTCGCCGTGGCTACCTTTGTTTCAGGTGCGGTGGGAGACATCTGTCAATGTTAGCGCTAGGCAGTGCCTGTCAATGTTTGTCGTAAGGGTGACGTGGTGCCGGCCATGCCGAATGGTCGATTGCCTGTGGGCCGGTAGCACTCGGGAACCGACCATCAAGGGCAGCAAGCTGCCACGGCGTACGGCACCAGCGGAGATGAGCGGAGCTTAAAAGGCTTCAGACAGACAGAGAAGCGTAATTTTATAAAGAGGGTGATGTGTGGTGATGCGTCCCAACACGCCAGATTCGGTTGAGGATAGGAAATCGACGGAAGGAGATGGACTCCGATCATGGAGGAATGATCTAAATTGGCCTGTCATTTTTATGGGGGGGGGGGGCCTGCGCATCATGAATTTCAGGATCCATTTCGCGATGGTAAAGTTCCAATATTTTGCCCATTCTTTTTCGGTTACGGAATTTCTGGTCTTTCATCGTGAATTACAGCTCTTTCCAGAACTTAGGGCACGGCCCTTTTTTTCTTTTTTTTGTTGTAAGTTTTCGCAAGAACAGCGATTGCGGGCTCAATTTAATCCCTTCAAACAAAATTGTAGCATGAACGTTCAGTGATTTCAAGCTCATATGCACAGAAAAAACTATACCATACCTACTTCAATGTCCCGAAATAAAAAAATATTTGGCGTATTCTGAAAAATCGACGTTGTGAATTTGCACGCTATCGAAAAATGGCCATCACTCCATGAAAGTACTTGAAAAATGAAGTATACTCACATTTTAGTCCACTTGATTTGATACTCATTTGAGCTCACACGGAGGCTCTCAAGTTCGCCATTTTAGGCGAAAATGGCCAAAAATGCTCTCTGTGTTCGGCTGTTCACCACAATGATATTACCTACCGGGTTCGGCCAATGGGGATCCCGACAGGCTATAATATTTTCCGCCTTATCAGCCTGGCTTCAGCCAATGGGTCACATAATATTATGGTGCTAGCTGCATTCGGTTCGGCCATTCATGATGATGATATTACCTACCCTACTCACCAGGTTTCGGCTGATGAGGATCCTGACAGGCCGAAATATTTTCTGCCCCATCTGCCTGGGTTCGGCCGACGTGGGCAATAATATTATAGTTTGAGCTGCCTTGGGTTTGGCTGCTCATGACAATAATATTACCTACCCTACGCACCAGAGCTTTTATATCTCTTGCAGGTTGCTGAGCACTGAAACGGTCTGGCCTCAAGAACATTCGCCGACACGGATGAGAACTCCAGTGAATTGAATTAAAACTGCGTGCATTGACACGCGGCCACCAACGTTGACGCGGGGTTGAATTGGATTGGTCAGATTGGGCCTACGAAGCCTAGGGCAGAGGGCAGGGCACAGGAGAAACAGGGGTAACGTGGTTGGGAGCGCCGAGAGGTCCACGGAGCAAGCCACGACGCAGTTGCAAACCCCCAAGGAAAAAACGGAGGGAATCCCAACTCGGACAGAAGCAAGGGAGATCTAGGCCGATGGTGTTCGGTAGGTCAACATTTACGTTTTGCGGGAGAGGAGAGTAAGTAATCAAGAAGCACATGACAGCGTGGGACTCTTTTTGCCCTCTGGCGAAGCTTTTGCTGATGATGCCATCAACCAAACAGTGAAACACAAAGCCACGTGAGCCCGTACATTAACTCACTGCCAAAATGAGTGAAGCGCTCGATACACACACTACCTCTCATCCATCGGAGGACCTCCAAAGACATCTGGAAGCCATAACAGAGCAGCTTGAGAGGGGTAAAGTTCATGTCCCTTTATTATACTTTTCTCATGATCTAAACAACGTAGCTCAAAAAGAGAACCAGGAGTTAAAAGAAGAAAATAACAAACTGAAAGAGCAGGGATGCATACACATGGTGAACTGTGTCTCTTTGTGCTCATTGGGAATCCAGTCTACAGTCAAGTAAAGGCTGCGTTGGAGAAAAGCAAGCAGGATCAGGAGGACCAGGAGGAGGATGTCAATGTATAGCTGTCTGGAGGATCATGTCATCGACGTCGATATCGGACGCGTGGTCATCTGATTCTGGGTCGTTGGTAGCCATTGGATGGCAGGAATTGTGATACAGCAGAGGTAGCGAGAAGGATGGTACGATACGAGAAGAGGCAGATTTTATTATTGGGAACCCAGAAAAAAATGTGTTTCTCTACATGTGTGTCACTGGCCGGAAGATCGCCAACAGAATGAGGTATATCGCTGTCAGGCAAGAATGATTGTGAGGTTTAACATTCGAGTGTTTGATGAGACGAGAGGCTGAGCAAATGGGGAACTTGAGGAATGGGGGAGTAGAAATCAAGCTAGTGAGGTTTTTATACATGGATGTGTTTGACTGCTGCCACTGCCAAGCTCTTTGCTCCCAGAATACGCATCTAAGCATCTTGATATCACCCCGGCGGCGGACCTATTTGCGTCTGGATGCTGTCCTCATGTCCAACCCAACTGGATGCAAAATACACGCCGGGCTCGGGCCCGAGTCGAGCTAGCTATTTGGACTTCACCACCTCCTTCTTGCGTCAAGATTTTTTCCTGGAGATGAACAATTGACCTCGTACCTCGTTCTGGTTCCTTCTCAATCCTTAGGGTCTGCCTTGGGTTGAAAAAAATGGCTTCCTCACAAATCATGGCCCAGGCCCGAATCTAACGGGCTACTGCTTTACAGGTGTTTACAGTAAAAGTATGTCGTGCAGGAGTGACCATCGACCACTGAGCCTTCCTTATGCTTGAACTTTTCCTACCCAATTTGTGTGAGTATCACAGTGATCATAATAATACTTAAAATTCCGTGTTTGCTTATGGCTCTGACCCGAATCGAACGAGCTCCTCCTGCATGACTTCAATGAAAGTCACTGAATCCACCACTAAGCCTTCCTTATCCTTGAGTTTGCGTTGGCATTTGCTATCTACTCAATTTTCAAACCAGGAATTATTCAACTGCCCTGCCAAAAAGAGGCAGGAAAATGCTCCTCATGGCTCAGGCCCGAATCGAACGGGCTTCTTCTGCATTTAAATTGTTGTTGACGCCATGTGCCAAGTAATGCAGATGTGGACCATCCACCGCCAAACCTTTCTTCCCCCACAACATGGATTGACTATCTACTCGAATTTCAAACCAGGAATTGCCCTGGCAAAAAAGAAAATTCAGACATAATCCCGACGGCTCGGGCCCGAATCGAACAGGCTTCTTCTGCTTTAATGATTCACATCTCCTTTAAGTAATGCAGATGTGGACCATCCACCACCAAGCCTTTCGTATGCTCCTTCCTTCCCTCGTACTAGCCCAATTTTCTAACCAAAATTTGCACTCAAAAAAGCAATTGTCGAAATGGTTATGGCTCAGGCCTGAATCGAACAGGCTTCTTCTGTGTTAACACCGTGAATATCCTTTTTAATTAATGCAGATGTGGACCATCGACCACCAACCCTGTCCTATCCTTCTTCTTCTTTCCCTCATACTAACCCAATTCTCTCGCCAAAATTTGCAAAAAAATGCAAGCATCCATATTTATGGCTCGGACCCGAATCGAACAAGCACCTTCTGCTTTAAACCTCGGGTTCCTTTCAAGTAATGCAGATGTGGACCATCTACCACTGAGCCTTTCTTTCCCCACAACATGGGTTGACTATCTACTCCATTTTCCAACCAGGAATTGTGCTGACAAAAAAAAGGAAAATTGCAGGACAATGGCTCGGGCCTGAATCGAACAGGCACCTTCTGCGTTAAATCAAGGTTCTTTTCGCAAGTAATGCAGATGTGGACCATCCACGACCAAGTCTTTCCTGCCCTCTCTTCTTTCCCTCGTACTAACCCAATGTTCCAACCAAAATTTACTCAAAAAAAGCAAATGTTGGCGTACGTAATGGCCCGGGCCCGAATTGAACAGGCTTCTTCTGCTTTAATGATCCACATCTCCTTCAAGTAATGCAGATGTGGACCATCCACCACCAAGCCTTTTCTATCCTTCTTCTATCCCCCGTATTAACCCAATTTTCTCACCAAAATTTGCACTCAAAAAAAAGCAAGTGTGGCAATACACAATGGCTCGGGCCTGGATTGAACAGGCTTCTTCTGCATTTAAATTGTTTTTGACGCCATCATACAAGTGATGTAGATGTGGACCATTCACTACCGAGCCTTTGTTGCTCTGCCTATATACTCGATTTTGAAACCAGAAACTGCCTTGGTAAAAAAGAATTCGAAACTCACAGCCCATGGCTCGGGCCCAAATCGAACAGGCTTCTTCTGCATTGTATTCACTCTGAGAATCCAAGTAATGCAGACGTTGGAGATGCCAGAGCAGGCTCGAAGCACTCGCGGATGGACGATCTCGGGAAAGCCAAGGATGGATCACGTGTAGGGCTTCGACCCGTCCGTCCCGTCAGACGGCCGGGTCGAAAGACGGCCGTCTTTTGCAACGGACAGGCTCACCCGTCCGTCATACCCGTTACGGCCGTCGACGGGTGATTTTAATTTTAATTTTAATCTTTGGTCCCTTTGGCCTCTCTAGTAAGGCCAGAAAATGTATGTGGAAGCTCAACATGTATGGTGAGCCAGGAAAATTTTCTTAGACGCCTCGCCTCCGTGCCACTCACAAGCGTGCTTTGACAAACATTCACGATATCGTTCAGCCTTTACATAAGCTTGCGCGGCAGAACTCGTATCCATTGGAAAAACTCTCTCGAGGGACGCGACTGCATGCGTCTGGGCATTGGCATCCTATCTCATAAAATGGAGCCTAGACTTACTGGTGGTGCATGGAATTTCTCGCGCGAGCAGATGCCATTTATGGAAGTTGGGGCGGCGGCCCGGGCATACAACCAACGTCTTCAAATGGCTCAGGAATGCTGGTGAGGGTACAGTAATCCTCCAGTTCACTTTTAGAACCGCGCCGCAGGTCTCCAGGGCACAGTAGTGTGCAGGAATAGTGAATTTCAGTGTTAATCCGGTGGGACCCGTCAACCCGTCGACGGACGGGTACGGGTGCACCCGTTGACGGCAGCTAAGTGTAGCTCCGGCCCTTGGGTGTCATGCCAGGGGCCCGGAGAAAATGCTGCGACTGCCGCGGCACTGCGGGGAATTGACGCGGCATTGACGCGGCAGTGGCTGTGCTATTGCTGCGGCAGGGATAAAGTGCCGCGCAGCCTTTAGCTCGTTTCACAACAACTTCTAGACCTCAAATTGGGTGAGGGCAGTGTTCCTACACTCGAATACATTGTCTGGAACAACAAAACCTTCAGGAATAAAAGTGACTGTAAGTTCCACCAAATGCCAGAGGGATTTCAACCACCTCCACCGGTTGTTATTACCAATAGAAGTACTGTGAACACATATGTAGCTCACCAGGGATTTAATTTTAACAATTCTGAGTCTAAATCATTGTTTACAAAAGCCCCAAGTTCATTGCTTTCCTACAGAAAGCAAGTTCAAGCATGTATACTACTCATCATCATCAAAAGTGACCGTTAATTCGCTTACTACAGCAGAAACTCGTGCAATATTCTGGGTCTGACCACCTAGAAATGTTTATCTGGATATATTCTCGCCCTTCATATCCAATTCGGCATCAAAAATCATGACCCATAGCCCTAACACAGATGCATAACATATCCACGAATTAGGTCAATCGGGCCAGCACTCACAGTGCTACAGTGTTTCTGCCGAAAGCCATGCTTTTTCGGAAGAAATTTCATCTACCTCTTCATAAAATTAGCGTGTCTGTCTGTCTGAAGCCATATCTCCATATGGTAATATTGCGCAGCATGACCAATGCACGGCAGATTAGCGCCATCCAACGGCATGCACAAATCAATCATTCACTGTGTTCCGTGGCATTGTCAGCCGTGTTTGAAAGCGTGGGCCGGCAACGGCCGATCCGGGGCCGTCAACCTGTGTCGGCACAGGTCTGGAATTGGTTGGCCGTCGGTAACCGATGTCAATCTCTCTTGCCAACAGGGCTGCAAAATGCAATGATTATATTCAGCTCTGCTTGCATGCCGAGCCGCAGAGTGCTTGATGGCTGGCTCAATAGTGGAAATGCTGTTTTCTGGAGATCTTATCTTTTGGAACTTATTTACTGCTCTCCTCGGCTTCGCATGTATTCACTAGAGTTGCAGTCAGACACATCGTTTACTCCAGCTTTACCACATTTCTGAGTCGGAACATTTCAAAATAACCTTCTCAGAGTACTCCACAAAAAGTCACAAACAAACAAGGCGAGCAAGTGGGAGCCGGCGCGAAGCGCCGGTGACCGCTTGTTATGTACTAAGATCAAAAAAAAGCCGGTATTTGGTCGCCTGCAGATTTACAGCCCGATTCCAACGCGCCTATTCCCAAGGGATTCCGACAAGAACTGACCCCACAGCAACTGTTCTAGTGAAAAGTTCAAAAAGAAAAAGAAAAAGCAGCCGCGCCTGTTGTACCGCAAAGAGCTGTAAATGTCTTTCAAATGAGTTTGGCTAGAACATCTGATAACTGCACTGAAGGTGTTTTATGGGAGTCCAGATAGGTCACGCTTTTTAAAATGCCGGCCAGTGTTCACGCCGAACAAAAAGCCAAGAATGCCTTTGAACGGAATCTGAGCATATGGCAATGTTCAAAACCGCCCGGGAACTGTGCTGGAATGCAATCAGTTGAAGCCAAGTACTCAGGCTTTTTAAAATGCCAGCCATTCGAATGCATCTGTTTGACGTTGAGTCCCCTTCGGCCCCACTATATACTCCACATTTTTCGTCATACAGTGGCGGCGAAATCTGATGCCACCCCCAAAAAAGGAAGGTGCCATCAATTTTCCTCCTTCTCCGTTATCTCGAGCCACACAACAGATTTTCAGACCGGATTTTTACATAGAATGGTTGCTAGACATATACACGGCCACCCTGTAATTTTATTTGATTAAAAACAAAACTCGAAGAATTGCGTCAGAAACGGGCCAGCACCGCGATGATGTCACTCTCCCTTTATTCACAAACAGCCACCACAACGCAATGTCCGACGACGCGTCTGAACAGGTCAACCAGTGCATCCCTACCAAGTGCAAGGCCCTCCTCTACAAAAATCGTGACATTGGACCGTCGAGTCATACTTTTGCCCGAGTACGGCAATATTCAGACTTCGGATCAACTTTTTGAAGTGCTGAGCCATCTGGGGATCGGAGGACTTCCAGGAATACACTAGGAAGGTTTACATGTCGTTTCCGCATCGCCTTGTCGCCTTGCGAGAAAACGACTTCTCGTGGTTGACTATTAACTTGAATTTTTTGTGTTTTTCTTGTTTGAGGGATTTCCTTAGAGATCAAAGATCCCTGTCGATCACGTGTGTTCGTGCTTTTTGCCAGGGCTTCTCGCTGGACACCGCGACGCTCGACGCTGTACGGCCGTCGACCCATTTATCCCTTCTAGTGTGCGTAGTAAGGGGCGGCCCTGATCAACTGTTGTCACCTGTCCAGCTCTAGGGCGCTGGTGATGCCTTCTCGTCCTCAAACGTAGCGAGTACCGGAGCGTCGTGCGTCTTCAATGCCATAGATCCCCCATCCGCCCTTGCTAAGTATACGCTGTCCTGGTTTCCGGCTTCTGCATCAGGTGCCACTCTCCTGTCGCCGTCCGCCTCGCTTCCTCTAACTGAGGTCGTTGTAGCTGCAAAATTTGGGTCAGGAGCAACCATTGCGCTTCCAGCGCCTTCGGTCGCGTTTCCTCCGCTTTTCGTGGTGGTGAGTAAACGCTCTCTGTGCCGCTAGCAGTGCCGATGCTGACTGGTGGCGAATCGTCAGTAGGCGGACGTTCGTGTATACCAAACACAGTGAGTCCTCACACGCCTTTTTATCCGCCGTCCTTGGCTGCTCCTGCCTGGCACCTCGTTCGTTTTCTCCACCTCGAATTATCGTCCGATTCGCATCCTAGGACTCCTCCCTACATTCTACGCATATCAGCGTCCAGAACTGAGCGCCGGAAGTTTGGGTGCGTTCCGATTTTCGCCCTAATTGTCTTCATTCATCTTTCCCTGAAACTTCCAGCACGCAGCCTCTTTGCGCTGCACGAAGTCATTCTCTACCAGTTTCTATGGTTCCGTGTGTTGATATGCACCCCTGCTTCGTACTCCCAGCTAACCATACGCCTCACCTCAGCCAGATTCCACGTGCGCTCTGCCAAGTCAGCCGATCCCACCATATACGGCGAATGCAACCTCGAGGCCGTCATTCGCCAGCATGGACGATGGAGGCGGCGATTGAGGCAAATGATGAATGAAGCTTCCGTTACAGCGGTATGTGTTGGCGATTTTTGATTGGCTTTTCGTCGCCTCTGCTTCCCATCTCCTATTGTTTCCGGTTGGTTGTGACCGCACCGCTCATTGCACAGTTTCTCGTTTGAAGGTCTCGTGTTCGACTCGCTTCTCCCAAGTCGTCCCATGCGATCTTTCTTTGGTGCATCCACCAAATTCCTTTCCCTGTTTATCGACGCTTCCCGAGGCTTGGATTCTCTCTCGCTAAGCTCCACATCTTTCTTTGTCTTTGGAATATCTATTTCTCACATTTGTACCTCGATAACCACCGAGTGAGCCTCACAGAGCCTCAATAACCGCAGGGGGCCAAGCAGAATCATCAAAAGGCGGGCTTTCGAAGCCCTCGGGCACCGCGTCCATCGCTTTCCATACCACGGATGGGATGGCAATCTGGCCAGTGTACCAAATGTAGAACTCCTGAAGCGCATCGTTGCTGGCACGGAATGAGGCGATGATACCCGCGGGGTTGACGGCGGTAACGTCGTAGTAGTTGGTCGCTGGTGCAAGGAAGTTAGCGACTGAGACCCGATGGACGCCCAACATACCCAGAATGGCGAACCCCCAAGGCCCGTGCGACGGGACGTTGTTGATGGTCCAAACATTGGGTGTCTTCCAATCCAGTCCATTGCCAATGAGACTACCATTGAAGTACAGGGCATACGCGTTGTCTGCGCTGATCGTTACGGAGATGTTAGCCAACGGAAATGCAGTGTTGGACTGCAAAGAAGCGAAAGGCAGAAGATCCTGCTGGAGCACCCGTGTCGACCGTGTCGGTGGTCCACATCCACGATGCGAGAGTAATTTCAGGAGGGCCTGGAAACGCGACATCTAAAACAGGAGTTGAAAGAAATAGTTTAATGC